ACAAATACACATAAATAACATATAACACATAAAAAACATATAACACATAAATAACATATAACACACAAATAACATATAACACACAAATAACATATAACACACAAATAACATATAACACATATAAAACATATAACACACATGCAACACATAATACCTTCACCAACGAGTCCTGGCCAGGGACTGCCCGATCCACCCCCTGGTGCCTATATTTATAACGTACGGCGTGGTGCAAACAAAGCCCGGGAGCATTTTCAGCTGTGACGTCACGTTGGCTATCACCGTAAACCAATCAAATGCGTTGAAAAAAAACATTGAAGTGAAAATAAAGCACCGAGGTTGGGAGCCTATCACGATTGAGTCTGCTCTTGGAGGTCTTAGAGCCTGAAAGGGCAGCCAACTTTTCTCCACGAAATATTCGAAACCGAATTGTAGTTGTTGCCAACCTTTACTTGACCCATTGAAGTGAAACCAGAATACACCTAGGTTCGAAGACTTTCATAAGTAAAATCGTTATTTGGAGGCCGTGTAGGGCTTGAAAGGGCTGCCAACCTCCCCACATGAAAAATTCAGTCGTTGCCAACCTATAAATTCGAAGGGAAGATCCATCATAGTACCAAACATAGTCAAGGAAAAATCCCTAGTTTTCGGAAAAAGAAGAAAAAAAACTAGTAAATCCATCCATGCTCCATGACGACTCAAACGTCATCAGACGTTTGTCATTTGAACTGACCAACCCCAGCATCGTTTTTTTGGGTGATGTTATTCTAAATTCCAGTGTCCGTGGTCACACCATCAATATTTTCCTCATTATCTCAAGGTCATGTAGTCATTATACAAAATATTGCGTGGGCCACCAAACATTGACGGAAATGGTGTATAATGTGACGTCAATGTCGGTTAATCCACCGCGTGACCTTGAGACATCGACCGAAATATTGTTAATGTGACCACAGCATATTTTGATCAGCAATTTGGAACTAGAATACCTCCACTGCAGCAATGCATCGTGGGGGAATACTTGTAAGACCCTCGTACACGGTCAAATTGCGAACAAACTGAAAAGTCCCCGATGACCCGAAATCACATCACTGGCCAGTGAAGTGTGATAGATGACATCTGAGTTTGTTCGTATTGTAATCGTGTGATGATAAAACCAAGAGTTCCTCATGAATTTCAAGACGGACAATTGGACGTATTTATGCCAAACTGAACTAGTGCATTATAACGTGAGCCCTGCTATGCATACATTCTCATGGGTCTCAAGGCTCCTGCCTAAATGCACATAGCCCCGTTTGGCAGAAATACGTCCAATTGTTTCTCCTTGCCCGAAAAGGTCGTTGGCCGTAGAGGTTCACTTGGACTTGGAGCAACCATGATAACTCCCAGGAGATCAAATTGTATACTCAACGAGATGAAGGAGCTTAGAATGGTTGCGATGAGTTGAAGTTGAAGTAAGGGCGCCTTACGGCTTGTCCCTTTGACCTTGGTCGGAAATCCTCTATTATCTCTACACATTATTTGCGGCTAGGCACAGGCTCGGACTGGCCAGAGCCGCTAGGCCACGATCGCGGCCGGGGCCCCCGAGGACGATGTAATATTCGACCTAAAACGTAATTTTGAGAGCACGTAAGTTTTATTTTACGTCAAAAAAGTTCACTTAATTAACTCGTAACAGTGGAGACGCCCAACTCAGGGGCCCCAGTCGTCGAAAACTAATTAACCCTTAGATTACAGAGTCTTAATATTAATAAAAACAATTCTGGGGCCCTCTTTCCCGGGGCCCCCGAGGAAGAGGGCCCCACAATTTTTTGTTTAATTCTCTTTCTTTGCCGTCGTCCTCGGGGCCCAGAATTGTTTCTATTGAGCTAAGACTCTGTAATCTAAGGGTTAATTAGTTTTCGACGACTGGGGCCCCCGAGTTGGGCGTCTCCACTGTTACGAGTTAATTAAGTGAAATTTTTTGACGTAAAATAAAACCTACGTGCTCTCAAAATTACGTTTTAGGTCGAATATTGTATCAATCCAAACCTCTAATAGTTGACAATTTTACAAGCGTCCAGGAGGATAAAATTGTATTCTCGGGATATAAAGGATCCAAACATTTTCCGGGGGGCGGCCGCCCCCCGGACCTCCTCTCCTTACTGGGGGGTCTCCCCCTCCCCTGGGGGCCGTCACGATACTTCGCCGCGGCCTAACTTTTTTCATGCCAGTCCGAGCCTGATGAAAAGGGACCCTGTTAAAGCAGAAAGGAACCAAGCCACATCAGCTATTGTCGAATTCAATCAGGCAATTTATTTTTTTTACGCATGAAAACGGTTGCGCGGATTTTTTGTGTGCAAATTTCAGTGAATTTTCAGCATAGTTTAAAGTGAATCCCTTAAAATTGCAAAACAACCCACACGTTCTCTTTCAAAAAATTGAATTGCTCGGTTAAACTTGACAATAGCTGATGTGGCTTGGTTCCTATTAGCTGAACGTAGTTCATTTGACGTTTAACGCTCAATGCTAAGAAGCATAACGTATTCGGAGATTTGTGCCTCAGGGAAAACAACGTTACAGCGTCAGAAATGCTGTAAAAAAGACGATCATGTCAATAAGATTTCTCGGAAACTTCTCCCCTCGATCCAGGCTGATGCTATATTTATAGCATATCCACGCACGATAGCAGTGACCGTCATTTTGATGTATACGAGAGGATGAAGTACTCGCAAAATTCAGCATAAAGTGTCGTTTCCAACGATTTTATCCTCTAGTTTTAAAAGAGGATTGTTAAATTATCCATTAGAAAATCCGAACGTGTTGCTTTTCATCAATAAATAGTTTCTGCCGTCGCGAAATGCGATTACGGGGTCTGCTGTGCTTGTGTGCCCTCTTCAACGCCTGCAGTTCAACGCCTGCTGTGAGTGTTCCTTTTTTGTTATGAGTCATAGAGGAAGTAATTTTGTTTTTTGGAAAAGTAGCATTGAATTTTTCTTTGTATCAGTCACTTGTCCTTTTCAAACATTCTCCGATACTATACGGAACGATAGCTCCTAAACCGCATTTTTCAGGTGCTACTTTCCAAAAAATCCAAGCATACTCTCCCTGAACATTAGGTCTCGAAATTTTTTTTAAAATTTTTTGCAACTCTATGGCCATTTTACACTTAAGCTTCAAGCCATTACATGAGATTGCTTCAATTCCAATATTTATTAAATTCAAAGCTTCGCAAGTTCAGTATTTTAATAAAATAGTGACATCCGTTTCTAATTTATTGTCCATTTGAGTATACTATCTTGACAGACAGTTCATGTTCGACCTTTTAAAGCCATGTAAATGTAAAATGGTAAACATCAATCATAAAACACACTGACAGGATGATAAAAGCACGCAGTCAATTTAAGTGGTGTTCAAAAGAAAAGAAACAGGAAGTATGATTGAAAAATCTTTAGTAAACTTATAAAAAAAAACTTCGATGACTAGTAAAGATTCAAACTACTAGGATTATGGAAAATTGTAGAAAATTGGTAAACGAAATTGTAGGTTTCTTTTCCTTTTATATGCAGCAGGCAATAAGCAATTGCCGGCAATTTGCAAGCGGTTCACCCGTTGTTTGAATACGCAATAATGCGCCCCCAGCATAATGCAATTTTTAAGGGTTATGGTCTTCAAAAGTATGAACTCGGCATGAACGCCTTCATTTTTTGTGATACTCTACGCTTTGTCACGAAGTTAGTTTAGTTGCTTGTCCGATCTCAATCCAACTAAAGCCACGGAGTTCAATACAAGCTCTTCTGAGTGCGTATATTTCTGTCATGTTGTTAAGGATGGAAAAGTGTCTATTCACATCACAGGCAACATAATCAGCACTCTGATCTTGTTCTTTTATTTTTGAATTATATGATTTTCTATATTTTTTAACCACTGGCGTACAATTTGCCGGCGATTGCTAATTGCCTGCGACATACAATCCTATTCGCGCAAAAAGGTTTGGTTTTATTCGCGCAATAGCCAGGAAACGCTTATTTTGCTCAATTTCAATTCATTGTAAATAATCGATTTTAGGGGAGAAACCCTTCCTTGCTAATATCTGTGCAGTCGGGATTTAAAAGTCATCGGCCTTTAGCAAGCGACTTGCGAGTTTCCTATGCAAATTGCATTGCATCGACAAAAAGAAAAACAAAATTGGTGTAAAACTACTGGCACGAAGCACGATCTGCACGGAAATAATTAGTGTGCTGATTTAACAATTAAATTGCTAAAAAAATTGACAATAATGTTTCAACGTATATTTTATAACAAAAAAATGCTACGTTAACCACTATTGTAAGCTAATTTAACCAAGGGGGTGGTTAAAGTAGCATTTTTTGTTGTAAAATCATACAATAATTCATGTTGTAACATTGCAGTTACTTTTTTTTTTTTTTTTTTTTTTTTTTTTTTTTTTTTTTTTTTTTTAGCAATTTAATTGTTAAATCAGCAATTTAATTTTTTCCTTGCGGGTCTGGCGCGCCATCAATTCTGTGTGATACTGCACGCCCTATTATGAAGGTAGTTAAGTTGCCCATCCGACCCAATCCCAACTAAGGACATTTGTTTCTCCACACACGCGCGTCAGTCCAGAGTGTAAGCCGCACTGTTATGCATTTAAGCACAGGTGTACGCAAAAAAGCATTTTATTGTAATTCCAGGCAAAATAATCTGTGTTTTCTCCGTGTTCCTTTGATTCTTAATTGAATGTTTCTCGATTAATCACTGGTGTTTTCCATTTTGCCAAATAACCTCTGGATCAATTTATTGTCAAGAGTGGCGGTTGGGTGACGCAGAGCTGTAAAAGTGACTTCAATGAATGTATGCATGTTTTTCATATTGCCGGTGTTGCTATAAGCGCCTGCGACATATTAATTGTTTTGCATAAATTTGAATGCACGGAGTGCTGCAAATTTGCGCGGGTCCCCTAGACTCAAGCATCCGCTCAAAAAACTTGTGCGATTAAAACCAAATTGAATTTTGAATTGCAGCTGAGAAGGACCAGGAGTGACCCAGGGCCAGGAAGGGGCACAGAAGCGGCCCTCTCTGGCGGATATTTGTCGACTCAACACTCTCATGGGCGCAGTAGGAGCGGTTTATTGTGAGTGATCATAAAGTAATTTCTTACTTGGAAAAATGGGAAGGTATGCGATCGACATGAATTGATCTAAAACTTGAAACGTAAACCGATCGACAACGATTCGACCGAAAACCTAGAACTGTTCGACGAAACCGTACATAGGTCGACAAATCCGTGATTTGATAGACAAATCCGTGAGTCAATAGAAAAACCCGTGAGTCGATAGACAAACCTGTAAGTCGACAGACAAACCCGTGAGTCGATCGACGAACCCGCGAATCTATCAACAAACCCATGTATCGCTCGAATTTTGTCGATCGACAAACCAGTGCATCGATCGAATCGGTGTCGATTAAATCAGTTTCGATCGATTAGTGTCGATCGAATTGACACCGGTTTTTTTTTTATAATTTGTCGATCGGTTAACGTTTTTATTTTTCGATGGATTCATGTCGATCGAATCCATACCCTCTGGAAAGATGAATTATATACGTGGCCGGCTGTGGGAAGACGAATAACCTTTGCGCGAGGAGAAACTTGGTTCACTGGAAAGATTTTTTTAAATTCAGTCAGAATTTGAGAAATTGACAAAAAACACTTTTACAAGTACTGCTTTTTTACTTTGTGCCGCTGTAGGGTTGACAGTTGGATTTTGGTCTACAATATTGAGCTCCGAGCGTGGCAAATTTAACTTAATGTAATCGTGTCTATTCTGCGGCTCCTGTTATAACAGCGTTACTATTATACTGCACAGGCGGGGGGCTTATACCGGTAATGCTGCACATTGCTGCTATCTGTCGATGCCCGCGGAAATCACTTTATAGTGATGTTTTCAACATGTTAATAAGAAATATTTACGTGTGCGGTGAAAAACTCGGAGAAAATTTTCTGAGCAGCGCAGTTGGCCAGTTTTAGATTTTTTGGTGATGGTGTAGGTTAAAATTTTTTGTACAGCCCGAGTTTGATGGCATAATTTCAAAATTTTGACGCTCACATGCATCCCCACTTTTGAAGTTGGAACATCCGTTTTACCCACCAAGGGGGCAGGAGGGGCTTAAGGGAGGGTGAAATTCAGATTCCTTGGGGTCAATTTTCCTTTCACTTTTGCCATCCTTGACTTCGTTCGACCTAAAATAACTGGAAAATAGCCCTATACGGGTGATCTGGGACACCTTGTATTTTTCCAAAAAGGTGCATTTTTATACTCATGACAAACGTAACATATCTTACTTTTGCCGCTCTGTTCGTTTCACAAATAATTTGTGGCTAAATTGTTTTTAAGTTATATTTTAAAGATAGAAACTCGGCTCTACCATCACCCTTAGATACTTACTTCGGAAAATTTTCTCACAGCTATTCGCATTGAATTTAAGGAGAAATTCATGTACCGTTGTGACGATTAGCTTTCCTACTTCATGCTGTTACCTGTTAATTCAATTACTTCATAAACTGCGAGGGTTACAGCCTATTTTAGGCACAAAGTTCTATAGGTGTAACGTCCGCAACACCATATAAATTGCAATATCTGAACAAAATAATATAAATACTTGATTGAAAAGTAAACTCAATGGGCCGTTACCAGAGCCAACCAGAATATATAGATGAAGTATATAGTTTCTTTAAAAATTAAAGTCAAAGTAAGGTCCTCAAAAATGAGAGGTCTCTTTTGTAACGTCCGCAACGGCCTTCTATAACCTGTACCTTGCTTTGTATACAATCTCTTTAAACGAAAATTTGCTGCATTATAGAGAGTAAGGTACATTTCTTGGTGTTCGAGAAATTTTGAATTTTTCGGGCCGAGCTGACCAACTGGATTGCATTTTGCAAAAAGGAACCAGGAGTATTCCAATATCGCTAAGATTGTGCAGCTTTATTTACCCTACAAATATAAACTGATCATCGACACAGGGTTTATCTTTCAAGACGAAAATTACCTTTGTAAATTTGATGTATTTTTCATGATCTCAGTGATTTTATTGCAAAGAACGTATGTTGCACAACCCTAGAAACATTGGAATGCTCTTGGTTCCTTTTTGCTAAATGGAATCCAACTTATGGACAGTTGAATGCATAGAATTTAACGTCGGCAACTGAAATAATTCCCCAGAAGAGGAGGAGCGGCCATACCCGCTGAGCAACCTGCTTTTTCATCTTCGTTGTCTCCACGACTACCACGACAATTACCTCATGGAGAGGGGCGTTCGTCTCAGCCGCCATCTCCTCCGCCTCCACGGCCCTCACCACCAGCGTCACCACCGCCCCTGGCACGAACCACACCACCGTCGCCATCGCAACTCATTTGGGCGCCCTCAAGTCCGAATGTATCGGGTCCATCTGAGAGAAGTCGACGCCAAGAAACGTATCCAAGGCAGACGCCGGCGCCGGCGCCGCTTTGGCCACCTTATTCTTCGCCGATGGAGGGAGGCGCTTATGGGAGGCCACTCCCAGACATGGAGCAGATACTGTCAGCGGCTATCGCACAAGCCATGAATGATCCGCAAGTTTTGGCAAGGAATAATCCTCCAGGTAAATGCCTTAGAAGAACTCCTCGCAGAATCGTGTTTCATGCTTCATTCTGGTAAATTGGATCGCGCGTTTAGCAAAAAGGAGCCAGCGCAATGGGCCTGTTGCAAACTTTTGCTAGAGCAAAAACAAGAGTTGTTTCTTATAGATAATGCCTCAAAAATCACGATGAGCGCATCGGCAAAGTCTGAAATGCAATCATAACTTCACAATCTGCGTAAGAAATTTGCGTTTTTTTAAGCTTCCCACTTCAAAAACGATACTACGGCACAGGTGAACATTTTGTTAGAGGGGTCGCTCCATCGTCGGCGATATTCATCGTGGCCGACGCTTGCGCGCAGTTCCGCGCGTAACTCGAGGAGAGTTCAAGGTCAATCAACTCGGGCGTGGAAAATATGAACGTTAACACACCGATTGTTATCTGGTCTCATCCAGTTCAGGTGTTATCTCGTCCCATCAAACGTGTTTTGGCAGATTGGCGTCAGCCATGATGATTATTGCCGACGATAGAACGACTCCTCTTACAAAATGTTCACCTGTGCCGTAGTATCGTTTTTGAAGCGGGAAGCTCAAAAAACCGCAAATTTCTTACGCAGACTGTGAAGTTATGAGTGCATTTCAGACTTTGCCGATGCGCTCATCGTGATTTTTAAGGCATTATCTATAAGAAACAACTCTTATTTTTGCTCTAGCAAAAGTTTGCAACAGGCCCATTACAGTGTTTCCATAATCCTGCAACTTCCTCTTTACTTTTAAAAATACTCAATTTGTATACAGTATTAAAATTCACACAATTATTTTTCCTTTCAAATTAACAATTTTTGTGGTGGGAAGCAAAAACGATTTGCTCTTCTGGGAGATTTTTTAGATAATCATGAAGAAGCAACATGTATACAACACTGCAATTGCGCTGGTTTCTTTGAGCTAAATGCAATTCAATTAGCTAAAAATAATGAGATCTGTCCGAACGGCATCTTTCTACGTTCAATGTTAACCGAGATTGTGCTTTGAAAGGTTCGGCCAATAGCGCGGCGTCATTCGCCGCTGTAATGACACCCTTGGTTTCTTCCACTTTGCTGCCACCCGAATTTCACGTTAAGTAACCGGTGCAAATGTGTTTCCTTCTAACTGATGAAAGCACGATGAAAGAAACCAAGGGTGTCACTACTGCGGTCGATGACGTCTTAATCCGAATTTTTCGAAGCGCGATATCTCGGTTAAAATTTTTGGAGAATTTTGTCCGTAATTTGATCTAAAGTTGTAAAAATTTTCAATGAAAAATATTTTTTACTTTTCTCAAAAAGAAGTGTTTCCTGCGAGTGAATTTGGCAATGCTTGAGTGTTCATACGGCGTTTTTCCTTTGCACGGCAGTTTTAACTTGCGGTCCTCGCTCTTAGCATACAAAAGCAAAAATAATAATTTACCGGAAAAACTGAAAACTAATTCGCCAAGAGAGCCGCACTAGAAAACATGCCGAATTTTAAAACATTTATCAGTTGTTCGCACGTTTATTATTATCGGCAGGTGCGTTTCGCTACACCCGGTGGACTCGCGCTGATGAGTGAAATAGTGAAATACTTTCGCAGATAATAATGAACCTGCAAGTAGGGAACTTGTTTTTTTTTTCATTCGGGGAAGTAACGATTTTCTTTGGCGTAAAATTCAGGATCATGAGGGAAAATGGCTCCAATTGATTACCACGCTATCTTTGCAGGTTGGATGAGAAGTCCCATGCGTAGGCTCGATTTGGACGATGATGATAACCAAGAAACGTACCCTAACCCATCATGGGTGTGGACAGATCCACAGCCGGGTAAGTTTTACATCTTACTACCCATCTAAAAATCTCGAAGAGTGATTAAAAGTCTACCAATATTATTTCGGAACAGTCATTTTACACCTGTCTAGTGTCTATCGTCCCTTTTCATATGCTATAAAAAAATACACGGAACTTCAAAATTTAAAAATAATTTCTTTACTTGTTAGATTTTTTTTTAAAGCGGGATCATATACAGTTCTATTAAATTGAACTTTTCATACCCTCCATTAATTTTATAGCTTCATAAAATTCACCAGAGACCAATTTTGAGCCGGTTAAGACTCATACAGGCACTTAGAGCCCGTTTCAGATTACGTTTCCTCTTTTGCTGTAAGGGGGGACAGGGAATTACATGCGACAAAAGTGCGAAAAAGTAATCTGAAACGGGCTCCAGCTAAATCTCCTATTATGAACACAAATTACAGTCTTTAGATTACTCCTCAACTAAATACCGACCATTTTTCAATTTACAACAACGCATGACGTTTGAATTGTTTCAGCGGAGCCACTAGGTACTGGAGGGATTAATTCAAGGGGAGCTGCCATACCAAATGGTGGCTTTTGCGGCTTTTTCCGTATCCGCAGGCATAAGCAGAAAATTAAGGATGTACCAGCTTCTGATAGTGATAGTGAAGATAGTGAGTTCATAACTACCCATTTTCCACTAATCTTGTTCAATGTGCTTGATCCTCATTCTGCCGTTGTAAAGGAAAAATGCCCTACGAGCCTTCAGATTCATCACTGGTAAAAAAAAACCTTTTGGTTCAAGAGTGCAGTTTCTTGTCGCCAGATTTAAGAGTCTGGACTCTTGTTTCAATGCAAAATCCGCTTGAATCAATTCAAAATCCGCTTGAAACAATAGTTCAAGACTCTTAAATCCGGCGATAAGAAACTGCACTCTTAAGTCAATGCAATGCGGCATTGGTCCAAGAGGTTTTTTTTTATCAGTGCAGTCATATTTCCTCCAATAAAAATCTAAATTGTCGATATTTTGTTTTAAGTTTTTCCGATACTTTTCTTCGAAATTTTATCTAAAATACCTGAAAATTTCAAGCGAAAAGATTCATAAATTTTCTCAAAAGTACATGTACTATCCGGATAAATTGCGCAACTCTCGAATTTTCATACAGCGTTTTTCCTTGGCACGGAAGTATAAGTCGCGAGCTCTTTTTTTTGTTTAAAATAAATTTTCTCGACTTAAAAACTGAAAAAGAGCACATATATTAACTTGAAAATGTGTTTCAAGGATTTTGACCTTTAGACTCTTAAAATACGCAATTTTAGACGATTTTTCGTCCAAACCGGACCTCGATATCTTTCTTCGTTTGAGCGATATTGCACTGAAAAAAAACTCCGGCCGTGGGAGCCGCAATTACGGGCTATATAGAGATACCGAGATTAGAGAGATAGAGATAGAGATATTACCGAGATAGAGATTCCGGGCTCAAAGGCCGGAACGGACGGTATCTCTATATAGCCCGTAATTTCGGCTCCCACGGCCGGAGTTTTTTTTTTCAGTGTGAGGTTCACAGGTTGTGACTTCCGACCCCCCCCCCCCCCCC